TTTTTTTTTTTTAATGTGATCCCGCCCCTCCCCCACGCCCTGTGACGCACCAGAGACATCGACGTAAACTGGGTTTCCTGGACGCACGCCCGTGATTGACTTGGAATGAGGAGAGGGGCGGGGCCTTAGCAGTTGCCCGAGCCGGGTCTGGGAGGAAGGGCGAGGGAGGCGGAGGAGGGGACAAGATAATTCCAGTCTCCAACACCCAGAAGTTGTACTGGGGAACTAACACAGACCTTGAAGGCAGATTTACTGGATTGGATCCCCAGCTCTAACACAGTCCTTCTATGGCCTTAGGCAAACCATGTAACCGCTTTGTGCTTCAGTTTCCCCAACTGTAAAATGGGTATAATATGGGGATTACATGAGTTAATGTATGCAAAGCACTTAGATCAGTACCTGGCATAGAATTTTGCTATTGTAATAAAGGCTATGTGACATCATCTAGTGGCATATAGTCTTACATACTTATATCGAGGCTGCTCATCTTGGGAAGGAGACACAGTCTGAATAATTATCAGAAGCAAAGCAGGCAGATATTTCAAAGTAAAGCTATACATCTTTTCTTGGCCCAGAGGGGGGCCAAGAAAAGAAAGTATACTTTGTAGTAAACTACAAAGAAAGTATACTGGACGTTGGAAATTCTTTTTCCTCTCAAATACGAAGCTAGATTAGAGTCCGTTACAGATATAGTATATGTTATTTTTTTATTTTTGTTTTTGGGGCGGAGTTTCACTCTTGTTGCCCAGGCTGGAGTGCAGTGGTGCGATCTCGGCTCACTACAACCTCCGCCTCCTGGGTTCAAGCGATTTTCCTGCCTGAGCCTCCAGAGTAGCTGGGATTACAGGCGTCTGCCACCATGCCCAGCTAATTTTTGTATTTTTAGTAGAGACGGGTTTCACTATGTCGGACAGGCTGGTCTATGTTCTTTTTGTTCCTACTTTTGCCATAATAGATGCTGCCCTTATGTCCTGTTGCCTGTAAAACACTTGTGAAGCCTAAGAAATCAATTACGTAACAGTGAAGAGAAAAAACGATTGTTTAATTGCAGTCACGTTTATTTGCAGTTTCTATACACACTTTCTAGGTAATCAAACTTTTCTGATACATTTTTTTGAGAGGGGTTCACAATGAAACTGTCACCGTTTTTACTAAAAATAAATACAAGACTTAAAGTGTTGCACAGCTCTAAAATATACAAAGGCTTGGATTGAATGTAAACGTTGAAAACATCTTACAAAAGAAACCATCTTTGCAGCAATTTAAAAAGTTCATATTTACAAATATTACAAAAATACAAAATGGATGCAAGTCCATAAACCATTGTCGTTTCGGCCAGCATGAACTGGTTCTAGTACCAAAATAGTTACACTGTAACCTTCTTCATAGTTTTAAATCTTTATTACCATCTAGTTCTCTACGTGCCACCACTGCAGCAAATGTACTCACTCACTGACCTTTGGCAAGAGCAAACAGCATGTTTTGTTTGCTACAACTAGTCCATGTCCTCTACTTAGCCAAAAACAAAACAACAACAACAAAATCAAAGTAGAATTTTTTAAAAATGAAAAAAAATTCCCCTACACAACATAGATACGTTGTATAAACATAAAAGAACAAAAAATCGCATCAGTGCAAACAACAGAAGAAAAGTTCGGATTGATGTTCTTCACAATACCTAACGTGTGTACCCTGCTTCAAGACGGCAGTGATGTTAAAGACAGCCCTAAATCTTGGTCTTGTTTGCTATGTAATCAAGTCATGTAGAATATTCCAGATTATTAAGGAACTTCCTGCTTTTTCTTCTCAGTTTGTAACTCAATACTCTTTTCCACAGTGAATTTTTAAATCCATCTTTATTTGGGCTTTTTTAAATCTATGAAATATAAAATAGAGAAACTCTGTTATAGATTTTTAGAGTAAACAAAATAAGTAAAACTATATTATAAGGGTTAGTTCTGTGATCATTACATATAGAAGGTATCTTATTGCCTCACAATTCAAGTCAATATGTATTTTAAAAAATATATGGTACCATTACTTAAATTAATGTCAATAATAAAAAGGTGACATTTTTATTAAAGCCAATTCATGTATTTTCTATTCAAGATTTAGAATCACTTTTAAAGCCCACATACCTTTCTTCACGCTTAAAAAACCCCTAACTACACAAAAGCCATACTGCAAACGAACTGCTTTTATGAAATTACAAAAGATCACCTACTGTGACTGGAAATGATGGTTTCTTATCGCATTTGCCTAAAAATTTTATTTTTAAAACTTTGCAAAGTGTACTTTTCAAATCATGAGACAGATTTATTCATATTCCCATGTGGTGTCAAATCATGCTGGTTTTCTTAATTAATGGGTTCCAATGAGAAATGATGGTCCATTTTATTCAAACCCTAAAACATTTTTCTTTTAAGAAAAAGTGTAACACTTTGTAAATGTTCAAACCCTTTACCAGGTAGCTTATCTATCCCCAGTGTGTGTGTGTGCACACACACACTCACACTCGCACACACACATACACACTCTCTCTGACTCTCCCTCCTCTTATACCCCTCCACCCCCAGCACCCATTTTACATACAAGGATGACAAGAAATTTAGTAACACAGTTTGTTAGTGAAAACAAATAGTAGAAGAAGCCAGACATTATTTTTTCTTTCCAAACAAACAAAACAACAGCAATCAGATTATCCATTCTTAGTCTGTAGCAGTTTAGAAATCATTTCTATTGAAAGACAGTATCTTCTTAGACCAGGCTTCCTCCTTCATTTTGCATGAATTATTCCGAAACGCAAACCCCCTTCCACACCTCCTACTTTCCCAACTACCACTTGCATAAGCTTAAAGCCAGCAGCTTGTCAATTTCTTGGTAACCTTGGTATGTTCTATCATTCTAATCACATTCTAGTCTTTTATAAGTCAGATCCCTTCTTAATTCTCTCTACGTTCTACCTCTCCCATTCAAAACCTATTCTAGCTGCTTGTATTTCTGACACAAGATTCCAAACATTAGTATCAGTTCATGTTAAAATCAGAGGTGTAAAAACCATTTGCAGATTTTAACTTGTAACTACATTTTTTTCAGTTTTAAGACAAGAAAATTCAAGTAATTTCAAGTAATTCAGCTTGTTTCCCTGCCTTTATTTTATCAGAGCACCTGCCCTGACATTTCCTCTCCCACCCACCACCCTCCCCTTTTGCCATCAAGCAGACACTATAGTAAAACCAGACAAAAACTCAGTTGTATGTAGTATTGTGAACCAGAGCTGTTCCCCATTCCCAGTTTAACAATGAATATAAATAATGCATATACACATACCTATTTTCCAACTACATTGTTCACAGTGTCATTTCTGTTAATTTTTAGGTAGCATGAATCTCATCAGCACAGAGAGAAAGCTTCACTGAAAACTCATTACAGGTACTTACTGATTAATCAATAGCTCTGTGGCATGCTTAGGTTTTATTTTTGTTAGTTTAAGAACGTGGAGCTAATTTCTAAACTCTTTAAGGAGTTTAACGATTATAGTCATTAGTTATGACTGTTTATGTCCCCAGTAGCCTAATATAAAACATAACCTAAAATTAACTACTGTTTTCCCTACTCATTCTCTTTAAAGCAATCCATTGAAAAAATTAAAATCTAAGGGACACTGTCAGATGCTGTTGTTCAGGGCTTTGTGTTGAGAATGATGACTTCTCTCATTGATTAAAAAAAAAAAATCAAAAGCATGCTTTTCATTCTGTCCAAATTACCACACAACAAATCACAGCCATGGGTTGCTATTAGCTTGTTTGGTGCTGCAATTTGTCACAAACATGATTAGATCTGAATTCATTATTTTAAATTATTCATATTTCAGTATATGACCTCAAGATTTCCTTTAGTTCACCAGTTTAAAATTCATATTTGAGGTTTACCACTCAGAAATCATATTGGTGGACATTTAAATATGGCATTTGATATGAAAATGGTATTCACAGAATACAGTTATTACATTTTATTTTTGTGTATTCTATAAACAGTTGGTGTGCAGTAGATAATTGACCACATGTCCACTCATCATTGATAAATCTATTTACACATTTTTATCAAAAATATGGTATTTACATATGTGTAGTTCTTTCTTCTAAATTTTGCTTTAGTTTAATGTAAAAAAATACCAAACCTCCAGAGTAATTTCATCTTCTTAAAGAATAATGACAGTGAGGGCTTTATTTTCTGAATAGGCAGCTCTGGGAAAACGTTTTCTAGGTGTCATGAAAATTAGACATTTTTGTATCCTCTATTTTTGCAAGGAAGGAGATTGCGTAAATCAAACTATGCTAAAGAAAAACATGAAAGACTGCAGCTACTTAAAACATGGAAACTAATCAAGAATGTCTAAACCACTTTCTGTTTACCCAGCACATACTGTATTTAGAAATTCATTCATTGCTTAGCAGTGATGCTACCCCATTAAGTTGAGACTTTTCCCAAGTCCTCTATTCTGTTCCTTCATCCACATGTGAGTAAGGGTTTTGGCCTTTGCCAGGCAGCCTGGTACAGGCACTCTATGTTGAACTCTGGGAGGAACGGTCGTCATGTGGGCTTCCATCAGAATTTTCCGTCTCTCCCTCAGAGATCGCCTGCATGGGCGTGTTGTACAGCCGGCAGCGGACACTGTAGCGACTGCTGCTGGCTGCAGGAGGGGCCCGAGAACGTCCAACCCTTGCTGATGCTGAGGTGGCAAAGCTCTTCGAGGAAAAGCCTTCTGCATTAACTCGTGGGGAGCATGGAGAGAGTGGGGACAATGCTTCAGTCCCTTGTGACCCCTGATGGGCATCATCAGTGCTCTGAGGGGACTCTGTTGTGAGCTCCCCAGGAGGTTTGGGCAGGATGGGACTCTTCAGGATCTCAGTGGCAGACATGCGGTAACTGGAATCTGAGCGGCTGCCTTTCTTGAGCAGTAACAGCTTAAACTCTTCATTGGATGTGTTGGACTTTTTGGCATTTCGGTATATGAGACCAGGAGACCTCTGGCTGTTTGGGGTTGTCACATTGCTGCTGGGTGAAGTGATGGAATTGGCGCTGCTGCTGCTACTGCCAAGAGGAACTCTCGATTTGCTTCGAACAGACATGTCCCCGGAATCTTTTCTTCCCAGTACTTTCCTCTTGGATCTTTGAGAAAAGGAGAAAATGGGGCAAACATCTCAGTCCATGTTTTTATGAAACTGAATTATTCAGTTGTATTCACATATCTGTTTAAAATGCATTTTGAGCCTGTCCTATATGATAGGATACTAAGCATTAGGGCTATAGAGATGAAAAATAAGATATGTTCCTTGTCCTTGTAGCACCCACAGTCTGAGAGAAATTCTCTGATAACCAGTGGACACAAATTAGGTCCTAGAGATGATCATTTCAGATAATGGCTAATGTGGAGGCTAGAGGTTCTAGAGGATACTCTATAAAAGTTTAAGAAACTATACTGCTAACTGCCGGGTGCGTTGGCTCACACGTGTAATCCCAGCCCTTTGGTAGGCTGAGATGGGCAGATCACTTGAGGTCAGGAGTTCGAGACCATCCTGGCCAACATGGTGAAACCCCATCTCTACTAAAAATACAAAAATTAGCCAGGCATGGTGGCGCATGCCTGTAATCCCAGCTACTCAGGAAGCTGAGGCAGGAGAATCGAATGGCTTGAACCCGGGAGGCGGAGGTTGCAGTAAACTGAGATCACGCCATTGCACTCCAGCAGCCTGGGCGACAGAGCAAAAAAAAAAAAAAAAAAAAAAAAAAAAAAAAGGAAAGGAAAAAGAAACTATACTGCTAACTAAACTATATTTCTGCTTCCAGGGGGTGAAGTACTATACCTTTTTCTTATTAACTCTGTCTCTGTAACACAGATGAAATGATCTGATGTCTGGGATTGGCTTCCAGATGATACCAGAGAAAGCAAGTGGATGGAGGTGTGGGTGGGATAGGATTGGCCCTAGTTTGACAGTTGATAATCCTGGGTGATGGTTATGTCAGCAAACATTATACTATTCTACCTTTTAAAATCCCTCCATATAAAAAGATAATTAAATGACGTTTTAAGTCAATTCATCTTGGGCTGCAAATATCATTTCCTATAGCTTCGTAAGAGCATCAAGAGCATATTAAGCAGTAAGCCAGCTCTCTGTGGGGAATTGAAATCCCAGACCATCTCTGAAGCTCTTAAAGCTTTGTATACTGTAAGCTCTCAAGAAAACAAAATAATTCTTTTTGCTGTGATGTAAATAAACAAGTAAATAGATAAATAAGTAAACCCTGCACAAATGCAAGTCTAAGATTACCAACCTGAATACATCTATTGAACCTTGACACCCATCATCATATTATTGATTTTCTTTGGTAAATCAGCAGGCATAAATTTGTGGATCTTCAGTATGACTCAGTTCATTGATAAGCATTGGCAGCATGCACTTTCATCAACTTAAAGATTCATACGGTAGAGAAAATGTGAGTTTCACAAGTGTAGATCTGCTTGATTTTGGTTCACAGAAACCTCTGTGGTTGATATCTTGTATATGCCAGTGTCTGGCACTCCACTAAGTCAGGGCTTTCAAACTAACATTAGCTTTTAGCACCTACCATATTCTAGACACACAAAAACAGTTATCATCAGAATCAAATACGTGAGCTATAGGCATTCCCATGTGCAATAAGGGAATAGGTCCAGAGGTTTCAACTTACTCAAGACTGGCTAGGAAGTGGCAGAGTTGGGATTCAAATCCAGGTCTTTCTGACCCCACTATTTACATCCTGTCCACTATTCCACACACTTGCATTTGGTCCTTTGGGAGTAACTTTTTAACTTACATAGCTTTTTAACTTACATAGCAGTTTAGTAATTTTTCCTAGGATTGGAGATAAAGTGTGGGGGTGACGGAAATATAATCAGAACTTAGACTAGGCACAGGGGTGAAGGAAAAGAAACTAATGGTTCTTCACTCTCTGAGTAGAGAAGTATGCCTGCTAAGGTATGCACAGAAGGTGTTTCTGATTGGCTCTGTTTAAAACAATTGTTGAACAGCAGTACTCCTTCTTTATGAGAGAACCACATCAACAGAAAACAGAAATTCCTATTAAAAAGTAGAACGCAGTGGCTCAAGCCTGTAATCCCAGCACTTTGGGAGGCCGAGACGGGCGGATCACAAGGTCAGGAGATCGAGACCATCCTGGCTAACACGGTGAAACCCCGTCTCTACTAAAAAAAATACAAAAAACTAGCCGGGCGAGGTGGCGGGCTCCTGTAGTCCCAGCTACTCAGGAGGCTGAGGCAGGAGAATGGTGTGAACCCGGGAGGTGGAGCTTGCAGTGAGCCGAGATGGGGCCACTGCACTCCAGCCTGGGCGACAGAGCGAGACTCCGTCTCACAAAAAAAAAAAAAAAAAAAAAAAAGTAGAATTCCAGGAGAAAAAGATTGTAAAAGATTGTAAGCTGCTTGCAGTGAATTTGTTTCAAAAATGATAACTTTATGAGGTAGAAAAGACAATCCCCAAGTTGTATTTCTTGGGAGTTTCATCTAGGTTCCCGAGGTCTAAGAAGACAGTCGTGTTTGTGAAAGGAGGAGGCACGGCACATCATGATTGGCTAGCTCAGTTGGATGTAGGTTAGGTGTCCAAGGGCTAGTTCCTGCTCTGTTCTTTGGTCATCAGCTACAAGGAATATTTTTTGCAAATATGGACCACGGATCACAAGGGCTCATGGGGGCAGACGAGGAAGTATGCCTTTGCAGCATGGACACAACACTGTCCTGGAAAAGCAAACCAAAGGACCTGTATTCATGGAATATGGACATTAATTTTGGAGATGAAGGCCAGTACTATTAAAGAAATTTAAGTTCTAAGAAGAAAGAAAAACAGACAGCAAATATTACTTGTTCTGAGTTATAAAATGGACAGGAACATGTATTGTCTTTTCTCAAACTTGAGACTCTGTTTTGTGAATCAACTTTGTGTGTGTGTGTGTGTGTGTGTGTGTGTTTGTGTGTGTTCTCTAAGTTTTATTTTATTTTAAATTGACAAATAATTGTATATAGTTACAGGGTACAATGTGAGTTTTTTATTTTTTATTTAAATAGGTTTTGGGGGAAGAGGTGGTATTTGGTTACATAAATAAGTTCTTCAGTGGTGATTTCTGAGATTTTGGTGTATCCATGGTGAATCAACTTCTGTTTGTCTCTGCTGGAGTATGACTACAGCTTTGATCATATTTTTTAGGTTCAAGAAAATATTTAAAAGTCAGAGATTACACTAGAGTTTGAGCTTTCACTCCAGGTCACTTAACCACAGATTGTTTTCACATAAAAGCTTGTTCCAGAATGTCTTTTCCTGGGGAAAAATAAAGCCACTCTTACGAAAGTCTCTCAATAGAGGTCTATCAAACTCTATATAAAGATCCTATTTCCCAACTTGCATATCAGTCTATCAACTTGATTGGGAAAAATTATTCTTTGCTTGCTTTTGTTTTTGCTGAATGTATTACAATTACGAAAACCTTTCCCGTATTTGCATTTGTGAGAAGTACCTGAAAGGGCAAAACCTTTGTTGTACCTTTTGTTTTGGGGGACTTGGTAATGTTGCCTCACCTGTGAATGACTGCAAATAAATCCTCAGTTGTTCGAGGTTTGTTTGGGGACACAAACACACCCTCTGCTTCAGCTTGGGAGTCTTCACTAAGTGGTGAAATGATGGAGTCATCACTCGGTGATGATTCTTAAAATAAGAACAGAAGAATCTTTAAAAGGAAGTTACCCAGCACATTACTGTACTTCACTGACTCAGGGAACAAACAAACAGAAATTACCTTGCTGCCATTTTTTAAAAATGAGAGAGATACTTGTCAAAGCTTACTCACCCAGTAACAAAAGATTTTATCTCAATTGTTTTAATAAGTGCAAAGAAAGAGTGGAGAGAAACCAACACCCAGCTGTACCATATTATTGGGAACATAAGAAAAAATTCCAGGAAGTGCCATGAGACACATTTCCTTTATGACAAGTTATCAGTGACTGACCTTTCAATGAAGCCTCATCCACATTTCCTTGGGTCTCCTCTGCTTTGCTGTTATCAGAGGCACTTTTGGCTGAAATACCTGAAGCAATATTTTCCTGCTTGGAATATTTTTCAGGGAATGAATTTACAGGTGTTATCTCCAATTCATAGCTGATAGTACCAGGCACTTTGTCGTGGTGGCGGCTCATAATAAATTGATGCTTAAGTTGATTGCTTACAGCTGTTGCTCTAGTTGGTGAGTTTGACTGAGATGTGATTACATCCACAGATTCAGGTTGTGCAACTTCCTCCCCACCTGCAGAGTGTGCCTTCTGTACCTGTTCTAGGGTTTCATCTGAACCAGCTCCATATTGTATTATTTTACCATCCAAATCATTTGGGCGGGCAGCAGAGACCCTTTGAAATCCTTCTGTGGGAAATGCACAGTTTTTGGATGGTGTGTTTTCTGCAATAGGCTCAGTCTCTGTATGCACTTGGTCTTTTGTGACATTTGAATCTAGAAGACTGCTACCAGCTGAGGTTATAGTTTCTGGATCGCAGCGATTCTTCACATCAAAAGTAGGATTTTTTTCTAAATGTAGTTTAGCTGGTCCTATCTCAACTGCAGAAGAGTCTAAAAAGGACAGTATGGTGTCTTCAGTGGAGTACTGACGAGATACTGATTTATTTGCTGTATGCGGCCTAATCTTACCCGGAGACAAGGCAGCCGTTGTGAGTGTGCTTTCCTCTAAATAAGGGAGATCTGTATTATTTTCTTCTTTTTGCTTAACTTCTTCAGACTTGTTAATGGACCTAAGGTTAACAGATTTCAGGATCGTTGGTGTAATTGCAAGGGACGGTGGAGGATTTGACCTCAGTGTTTCTCCTACTGTGTTCTGCTTATTATGAGTAAAAACATGCAATGGATGACGGTGGTGGAATGGTTTGTTCAAGACATTATGAAGAGCACTTAGATCAAGATGGGTAGGAGGTATAATTGGAAGTTCAAGGTCTTTACTCAGTGATATAGTTCCATCTTTTAAAGAGGGTTGCTGTAGTGAGGATTTTCTTTCTGGGACTTTAGGTTTTCTTTTGCTACCTCCGGGAGACAATGGACCTGAAAAGAAAGCTGTAGGGAAAGAGGATGTTGGCGTTTCAGACTGGCTTGAGTAGCCACTTGATGGAGATGCCAAGCCAGCCAGCTTTTCTGGTGAAGCCAGTTTAAACTCATTGTCAACAGAAGGAAGAGATGGGGTAGTGGCTCTTGATTCTGATTGCGATGTTTGGGATTCAGAGCTCTCTGGAGATTTGATGCATTCAATGACTGTGGTACCCGTAGCGGTGCTTGAATTAGATAGAGATCTATAAGGATCATTTGTTTTCAAGTCATTTAGGAGCCAGAGGTCTGCATAGTGCGTGGATTCGGCACCTTCATCTTTGAATGGTGGGATATCCGAAGTGTCTAACTGAGGTTCCTTAATGTCATGTTCACTCTGGTTTATCCAAGAAGGTTCCTGCTTGGTGGGAAGACTGGCATTTTCCATTCGAGAAGGCGTGTTGGCAAAATCAAGAGGCAGCTTCATTTCCCTGGAACTGTGAGGCAGGTGCTGACCACTGCTTATCTTTGGTTCTTTCTTCTCAGAAATATCTGCGTTTCCATCAGACTTCCTCAATGATGAGCTACGTTTAGGTGGAGTCGGCTTTGCCTTTGGTTTCCTGAAAGAGATGCTTGGTCTTCCCTGCCTCTTGTGGTCTAAGTAGTCCTGCCAGGCACAATCTGGAAGACCAGGGGAAGGCCCTACACCCTGGCCATTCTCTGGGCCCAGGGCTGCATAGTGACAGACATAGCTCTTACTACCTTTGAGACCACAGTCAAAGTGCATGGATGTATAGTATCCTTCCGTGTCTATTGAAAAGTGAGAGCTAGTGTCCGCTTTATCTGATGGAGACTTTTCCAGAAAGCTGTCATAAGTGGCCACGCTTGTGAAGCTTGGGCAGCCCAGGCTGTCTGCCTTGGGATGCTCAGGACTAAAATCCTGGCGGCAGGAGGCATCATGGTGGTGGTGAAGGTAATTCCACTCACTGTCACTTGTGTTGCTGTTGTTGGGATCATCCAGCAGGTCTACAACAGTGGAGGTAAAGGAGTTTGCCCGATGGCCTCTCACTTTATCCAAGTGGTCATTGTATTGTTCTGTCATGAAAACACTGGCATCCTCATTGGCATGAGGGGCTGTGTTTAGTGACAACTCCGAGTCACAGTGCGAAGAGCCAGTAAGTGGAGGAGAAGCTGCAGGAGGGATGGTTTCTGAGGTCTGTGAGGGGCATGTGGAGCTGCTTCCACTCCAGTTGCCGCTGGATGACTGGTGGTCATCTTTCTGGTCCATGTGGCTGCTAAGGAGGACACCAGCCGTGGAGATGCAGTGGATGGGGCTCCCAAACGTGTCTGAGTTGGAGGAGATGTCACAGCTGCCGGAGTCAGCAGCCATTCGGGACAGACGTGACCTTCCCCTCTCACTTAATTTGTGCTGGGGGCTGTGGAGATGTTGAGAGCAGGCTAGGCCCAAAGTAGGCTGGTGGTCCTGGGCACTCGGGCTGCTTGGAGCCTCACTGCAATCATTAGGGGTTCTTTCATGGTCACCCACAAAAGACTCTCCCTCTTCATATGCTGAGGGTTTAGCACCAACTTTGAGCTCAGCATCCCCACCTCTATTACCTTCCCGGGGAAGGCTCCGAGATCTTGTGCGGCTGCTCGCTGCAGGAGTAAACATGGTGTCACCTTTGTCTGCTAGGGCAGAAATGTTGCCAGCAGAATGAGAAAGGGAAGCTGCAATGCTTTGACCCCTTTGAGCTCTGATTCTCCTTCTGGATGGGGCAGCAATCAGAATATCCTCGGTTTGGCACTCAGAGTCCCTGGTTCCGGATCTCCTATTGACAGTGTTGGAGGGGTCTGGGTTTGTGTGCACAATCACATTCCTTTCCCTGGCCACTGGTGATTCATCAGAATCTAGGGCACATGGAAAGCACAGTGAGATATTTTCTATATCAGCAGACCAACAGACATTCTGAGCTATGTCTGCAGATCTGTGGGCTGGCAGGTTAGAGCTGTTTTTTTGTTTGTTTTTTTTTTTCTTTAATAGAAAAAAAAAACACATAGAATTAGGAGAGAGTTAAAAGGGTGTATATATGTGTCCCCCTCATATATGTATATATACATACCAAGAGAAGATGTGCTTTTATGTCTTTTGTGAATTTTCCCTCTCTTCACTATCACATAAATTTGCCACAATAAGTGACTACTTTTAAAAACTAAAGTACATTTTATCTTTTTGGCCATTACTCTTCATTTTTATTTTGTAATATAAACATGATGAAATAAAAATCATAGCTCTCATTATTAGAAATAAAAGTCTTATTTACAAGAGATGCTACCCTAATAATTTTTAAAAACTCGTAGGCAGAGATATTTTAAATGCACTAAACAGAAAAATTGTCACCAAAGGTATCATATTATCCATATTCAATATTTCATTGCATATGCCTGAAATTTACCTTCTAAAATAATTAATGACATGAAAGTATATCTCTCTTAAATTAAGTTACAATTTTCCAAAAAGAAAACTTTCATTTACTCCTGCTACTTTTTATTCACAATTTCCACCTTAATAAAACTTTCAAAAATCAGCTAAGTATTACATTTCAGCCGTAAGACCTGAATGTATATGCCTAAATCTATAAGGTCAAACCTTCACGGTCAAGAACAGAGAGTTAAAAAGTAATACCACCTGGCTTGCTGAATACAGAACAAATACACACCATTTTAAAACCTCTACAAGTTAAAATGTTTAATCATTTTTCTGTTTCATCTATTTCTTCTGTTTAATCTCCCTATCATCTATACTAGGTGGAGGAATGTTAACCATTAACATTTTTTGATATCACACCTATTTCTTGTTGAACTCTTCTGGGAATACCCGAGATGGTTTTCCTCCTCCTCAATTTTCGTCTCCGCTGTAGTACCGATTGTGAATGAACCAGAGAGCAGCGTATACTAGCTTCTCTGTCAAAGCCAACTCCTGCAACCCACAAATAGGTCTCATTAGCTTTAGAAATGGCAAACAAATTTTCATTTACTTGGAACACAGTGATATTAATTGACAGGAAGTAAGGAAAGAGTTTGGGTTAAGCCTGTGAATGAATATAAGGGAGCTGTTATTCAGCTCTTATTTAAATTATGCTGCAGTACATTAAGCTTTACTTCTAAATGCAGCTCTCCACAACAGCTTGCACTGCCAACTAAAACAAGCAAAGAAGAAAAATCAAAAGAAAGAGAAGGGAAAAAGACATCCAAAAAATCCCTCTCACACAGAAATGGCTCCTTAAGGATTTATAACCTTTAGTTACTACTATTTACTGATCTATTTCTGGGCTCTTTGAAGCTGATACCTTTGCATAGGAAATTAGCAACCAGGATGCTAACCTGAATTAGCTCAGCTAACATATCCTGACCCATTTCTTCATTAAAAGCCATCTTTGTGAGGTTTTGTTCCCTCCATCTCTTATGGTCCAAACCGTCTCCCATTCCCCACGTGCGCACGCGCGCGCGCGCGCGCACACACACACACACACACACACACCCCTCTTGCTGTGAAGAAACTCAACAGTCTAAGGATTTGTTTTTTTAAATCATCACCCAACTCTGTCTACTTTCTTCTGTTTACTAAACTCAGTGCCTTGTGGTTTAGCATGAGATGTCTTTTCAATATAAAATAAACATACAAGGCAGTTCCCAGTTCTGCACTTAAATGGATCCACTTTCTATACCAACTATAAATCTGGAATTCCCAGTCTTTATGCCATAGGTTTGTTTTTGTAAACACAGAGGGCAAACCATGGTGCTTGTTAGTTTCTCTCTCCATAATCACATTATCAGCATTACATGCAGTCCCATCACAACTAGAATGATGAGAGGGGAGGTGAGGAACTCAAACCCTTGTCTGCACCATGGATTTTTCAGAGTGAACTTTGCCTCAGAAAGCCACGATGCCGTGCTTTGGAATTTGGTCACCTCATCATTTATCCTGATTGTTAAGCGTGGGGCTGGGTGGTATGTCAAGTCTTGGTTCAGCTGTATAATGAAAGAGTTGAGTTCTGTTTAACATCACAGTGCCAAGAGTTTCTAGAACTCACTTTGAAAAATCTGTATGAGATATCATATGATGAATAATTACAATATTATTGGAGAATTCTTACTAATGGAATCTTTCTTAGTTCCAACCCAAAATTAAAATCCTTCATTCTGATCTTAGTAATTGTAGAATGCATTATATATAGACAGACATTTTGTGTTATGTGGACATCATTAACAATGTTCTCATTAAAGCTCTTGAAATCAACATCTAATATAAGTTTTAATCAGAGAGTTCCTGAAATAAAGCAGAAGGAAAAAGTGTCCCTTTCCCTCAATCATAAAATAATGGCCCATAATCATAGCACTAAATTTGAAAACGAGATTTTACTTACAGTGCCATGAAAAAAGCACGTGCTGCTAATAATCAGAGGTTTCCAGAACCGAAAATTAGCTTAAGAGGGTGCCAAAATGATCCATTTTGGCAGCTGAACTCCCGTAATACATCCCATTTAGATTGTGGAGATCAGATAGGGGCATATCTTTAGAATAATTTATCTTACAAGTTTAATAGGTCATCAGGAAAATTAACTCCTAACTCACCACAGGCCCATGAACTAGGACTCCTTTTTCTCAGGAAAAAAATAATATCAGCACTTTGGGAGGCCGAGACGGGCGGATCACGAGGTCAGGAGATCGAGACCATCCTGGCTAACACGGTGAAACTCCGTCTCTACTAAAAAATACAAAAACTAGCCGGGCGAGGTGGCGGCCGCCTGTAGTCCCAGCTACTCGGGAGGCTGAGGCAGGAGAATGGCGTAAACCTGGGAGGCAGAGCTTGCAGTGAGCCGAGATCAGGCCACTGCACTCCAGCCTGGGCGACAGAGCGAGACTCCGTCTCAAAATAATAATAATAATATCTGTCCCAGATGTCTGGTCCATTTGCTTCCCCACTTTATTTGAGAGAAATCTGAGTGGGGTTAATAATAGCTGTGTGCAACATGCATCTCAAGTGACATGCAATATTTAGTCACATGGTACCAATATGCAAATCAGTCATAACATGGCTGTTTTGAAATTTTCAATATACAAATAAGTTAAAATGTAACTATTAGAGATGTAAGAAAGCCCAATGGATAGACCATTTAATTTATGTCTTTGAAAGTTAGAATATTTTATAACATGATTTTACTTACAACTAAGTTTACCAGATCCAACTGTGGAATTTACAACTGCTGCCAATAAATTTTTCAGAAAGGTCTGGCTGTGCTTCCATTCTATCTAGACTAATATTCACACTCTCAGTACACAGGAGGAGGAAAAAAGAGAGTGAAAGGAAGACAGCCTTGCTGGTTTTAAAATAGAATTCAGCCTTCATCTATGTATCCATGTATTTTTAGGTCAAAAATCCCCCAAATCAATACAGAAGTCTTAACAGTCTTTTTAAAAAAGCCTACCTTCATCCAAGGAAGCATGAAAACAGATTTTCTAGTTGGTCTACAGGACCATTACTTGCAGTTTGAGAAGCCTGGGTTTGCTGTTTTCTTTCTTGCAGTGCCACACATCATTATCATATGATTAATCACTGCCGCCTTCTCCATTATTTCAGTCAGCTATGGCCAAAGAGCTATTTGGTGATTTTTTTCAAAAAGAAACTGTCCATAATTTACATAACAAGTGGCCCAGTGGAAAACATGTAAATTGATGTTCAAAACCTGACAAAAGCATATCGAACATCCTCTGGGTTTGTATTTTGATGAAAAAGGCATTACTTGTTTACAAAATGGTATTCTTAGCAGCACAGATTTTGAACATATTTCGTACACAGAATATTCTGACCCGTCTGCCCCTAAGAAAAAGCCAGAACGATACCAGTGACATTGATGGGAATAATGCAAGAAGAAATCACTTGGGCATCTTGTTTCATCTTCTCCTCTGGCGTTGGGAGAGGTAGTGCTTTGCTCCAGTTGGTCTGCTTGTCCAGTGTAGAAGGGATATTGTGTATTGGGTTTTTCGGCCTCTGCCCTAACATGACATCTGTATCTTCATCCTCTGGGGGATGGGACTGCAAACAAAGTACAATCAGGTTCAGCCATCATAGATTATACATAAGCATACATATAAGGAATTTCCTAGTTTAGAGAAGTAAAAATGAGGTCAGAAATAGGCCCTTAGGACAAAGGAAGAATTCCTAGAAATAGTTAGTAAGCACAACTAATTGCAAGTATTATTTCAATAGTCAAGCAACACAAAAGGAAAGAAATGGGCTAAATAAACATGCTTCTCAGGTTAAATGGAATTAACAGGAGAGACAAGGTAGCCAGAAATCTGCAAACTTTACACCAAAGAAAACTGAGTCTCTATTCCAATGAAAGATCAACTTTTAAGCTCTCTCACCATAAATTTCTATCAAAAGTTTTGAGATCTCTAGATGACTAGGATCAAAGGAAGAAGATGAGTTAGACGCCTGTGAAAAGGTTCAGAAAACCTGGAGTCAGGAGACATTCCAGAACACATACCTGAAGGACAAGCCAACCTAATCTGAGAAGCCACATTAAAACATGAGGAGTTAATTTCACTGCAGGACTACGGCATTTTTAAATAACATTTAGAAAATTCAGTTTCATGAACACTGTATGCACGTGGAAAAGCAAAAGTGAAGAATTTCCCCCCAACAACGATAGTGGAAAATACACATCCTGTTACTGGGGAGAAATATTCCAGTAAGTTTATTTTTCAAATTAGGAAAGGTAAAACAGTCCTAGTTTATTTTCTTTTCAGCTTTGTGGTGCGAGACGTTTCCTCCAGCTGTGTAGTTACGGGCTTTGATTTCTATATGACATTGGAAAATTCTCCATCCAAACTTTTGATAAATATCAATATTGTCTAACTTTTATTTCAGGGTTGGGCTCCTAGGCCAGATTATTTAAAAAGCTCCATCCCAGTTTTGATTTCAGGGTTGGGTTTCTAAACTAGATGATTAAAAGACTCAGTTTTTACCACTCAACCTAGTTTTATTTATTTTTTACACAATTTGGAGGAAGGTGGGTATCTGTATAAAATAAATATATTTTGCTCTTATCCCAGTAAGACTTTAATAATATTCTGTCCTAAAATTAGGATCATCAAGAAAATTTTTCTCATCTTTACATTTGGAAGTATCATGCCCTGTTGACTCAGAGGATTTCACCTATTGTCAAACGAACTGTTCTCAAGTCCCCTTAAAGAGCTGATTCCAGAGCCACTTGTCTAAACTCACCCCCGGCATTTACTTACCTTGTCAGAGGTTTCTGCAAATCCCCCAACACACCCAACAGGATATGACTCCCCCCTTGGGAAAAATGTGTTCATCATGAACGTTTTAGTAAAATATTGCAACCTTCTTTCTCTCGTCAGCTTTTGTGCAGATTCCCAGCGAAGCGAATAGCTCAAATAAAGTTCGAGAACAAAAGACTTTGTTTCCTAGGTAACTTCCAAAAAGAAAATAAGTTTGGTGCATGCAGAGAGAGAGAGAGAGAGAGAGAGAGAGAGAGAGAAACTGATTGAAAGAGAGACAGAGAGAAAGAGGGAGACAAAGAGAGAGAATGAGCACTAGAGGAAAACCCCCCACCACCAGAGGCTTCATTTTGTAGGCGATTCCTTCCTTGAATAACAATGGACTGCAAAGTGTTGAAAGGATAGTGACCTGACTACAGGCTCTGACCAGCAGCCAAAAGCACTTTTTATTTAATGGTGACAGTACGATCGGCTGCCAGAGAATCCGTTTGTCTTGTTCTCCTTTTTTGATTTGAGAAGCTGAACATTTACAGTTCTGATAAATTAAATATAGGACAAGTTTCCTCTGCCGGACTACAAAGTCCAAGAGTAGTGTTAGGTGATGCAGTTTGCAGAGTGGGGGGCAGTGAATGGGGGAAAAAGGCAAATGGTATGACTGTCTAAGTTATATTACATTTAATTCAAGTTAGGAAAATACCACTTTTTAAATTAATTTTAAAGAAAAACCGTTAGTTAGAAACAAGAAAGTTTTCCATAAAGTTAAAAGAGGGAACAAGGAAGAGTGTCTGGACAGAGTGGGATAGGGCTGTGAAGGAATGTTCTCAGAACCAATACCTTTCTACTCCATGGGGTCATGTGGCAACACTCAGTGGGGGAGGGCGAACGGGTGCTGTTAAACTATGAACATGAAATGCAAAAAAAGAAAAAATTAAAAATGTGCACACAACACACAGTGTATACTGGTTAGGCCAAATCTATGATATTAATGAAAGAATATACTGGGATAACTTTCTTCTTTCCTTCCCTCCTTCCTCCTTCCTTCCTTCCCTCCCTCCTTCCTTCCTTCTCCTTATTATTCCTTCCTTCTCCTTATTATTCCTTCCTTCTCCTTATTATTCCTTCCTTCCTTCTCCTTATTATTCCTTCCTTCCTTCCTCCCTTCCCTCCTTCCTTCCCTCTTTCCTTTTCTTCCCTCCTTCCTCCTTCCTTCCCTTCCTTCCCTCCCTCCCTCCTTCTTTCCTTTTTTCTTCTTTCCTTTCTTCTTCCCTTCCTTCTTCCCTTCTTCCTTCCCTTTCTTCCCTTCTTTCTTCCTTCCCTCCTTCCTTTCTTCCTTCCTTCCCTCCTTCCTTTCTTCCTTCTTCCTTCCTTCCTCTTTCCTTCCTTACTTCCTCCTTCCTTCTTTCCTACCTTCCTTTCTTCTTCCTTTTCTTCCTTCCCTCCTTCCTCCTTCCTTCCTACTTCCTTTTCTTCCTTCCCTCCTTCCTCCTTCCTTCCTTCTTTCTTCCTCCTTTCCTCCCTCCTTCCCTCCCTCCTTCCTTCCTTCTTCCTTCCCTCCCTCCCTTCCTTTTTTACTTTCCTCCCTCCTTTTCTTCCTTCCTACTTCCTTTCCTTCCTTCTTCCTTCCTTTTTCCTTCCCTCCTTTCTAATTTCCTTCCTTTCCTTCCTTTCTTCCTCCCTCCCTCCCTTTCTTCTTTCCCTCCTTCCTCCTTTCTTCCCTCCTTCCTCCTTCCCTCCCTTCCTTCCTTCCCTCCCTTCCTTCCTTTCTTCCTTCCCTCCTTGCTTTGTTTTTCCTTCCCTCCCTTCCTTCCCTTCTTCCTTCCTTTTTCCTTCCCTCCCTCCCTTCCTTTCTTCCTTCCCTCCTTCCTTCATTTTTCCTTCCCTCCCTTCCTTCCCTTCTTCCTTCCTTTTTCCTTCCCTCCCT